CTGTTTAGATGAGTTCCCAGATTGCAATAAAGGAAAAACAGAATAAGTTACTGATCTCCATAGTTAAATTCTTCAATTATTTTTGTACAATATTACCTGTTGTTTGTGTTGAAAGTTAAACTTGTTTTGGGCTCTCCCAATTGTCCAAGATTCAAAGCAAAGGTCAAGAAGCCCAAGAAACTCAAGAAGAAGAAGTGTGTAGAAGAAATTATGGATAAGACTAAGAGAAGAATCTAGAGATAGCTTAATTAGTATACATAGGGATGCTTGGCTCACTTGTAAGAGTATCCCACAACAAGCAAAAACAATCATAAATAAAGAGTAGTCGTTTTAAGAAAGAGTTCTTTCTAAAAGAGTTATAAAACTCTCTCTAAATAGGAAGCTTTAGTAGCAAATCTCTTTTCTAAATTCGGAGGCTAACTTTTATAGTAGCAGTCCAAATTCCAATTTAGCCGCTACAAGAAACGCTATCCCGTTAAAATTTCCAACAAAGTGATATCAGAGCTACGGTGATGGCAAATAATGGTGTTCCCTTCCAAGTTCTGGTCCTAACGAAGATCTATGATAATTGGAATTTAAGGATGATGGCGATCCTAGGCGCACATGATGTGTGGGAGGTAGTATAGAAAGGGTTTCTTGAACCAGAGAATGATGGTAGTTTATCTCAAACTCAAAAGGATAGTTTGAGAGATTCAAGGAAGAGAGACAAGAAGGCTCTCTGTCTAATCTATCAAGGATTAGATGAAGATACATTTGAGAAGGTTGCTAGTGCAAAGACATCCAAAGAAGCATGGGAGAAGCTTCAGATGTCTTACAAAGGAGCGGAACAAGTGAAGAAGGTTCGTCTTCAAACTCTTAGAGGAGAATTTGAAGCGTTACAAATGAAAGAAGGAGAAATCATCTCAGATTATTTTTCAAGAGGCTTGACGGTTACTAATAACCTAAAGAGAAATGGTGAGAAGTTAGATGAGGTGAGAATCATGGAGAAAGTTCTGAGATCGTTGGATTCAAAATTTGAGCACATTGTCACCGTAATTGAAGAGACATAAGACTTGGAGACTATGGAGATGGAGCAACTTCTTGGATCATTACAAGCTTATGAAGAAAAGAAGAAGAAGAAGAAAGAAGACATTGTTGAGCAAGTTCTCAAGATGAGAATTGATCACAAGGAATAGAGTGGCAGAAGCAATCCAAGACGTGGTGGCGGTCATTTCCGAGGATGGGGACGTGGAGTAAATGGAAGAGGTTGGAGACCATCTGAAGAAAAGTCTAATCAAAGAAGAGAGAGTTATTCAAGAAGTCGTGGAAGAGGAAATGCAAGATCAAGATATGATAAGTCAAGCATCAAATGCTATAACTGCAGAAAGTTTGGGCATTTTGCTTCTGAGTGCAAAGCTCCAAACAACAATAAAATTGAAGAGAAGTCCAACTATATTGAAGAACGGAGTAAAGAAGAAGATATGCTATTGATGGCTTGCAAGAATGATGAAGCAAATGAGGTTCATAGATGGTGTCTTGATAGTGGTGCAAGCAATCACATGTGTGGTGATAGAAGCATGTTTGTGGAGCTTGATGAATCGGTGAAAACAAATGTGGATTTGGGAGATGAATCAAAGATGGAGGTCAAAGGCAAAGGAAATATTCTCATCCGCTTGAAGAATGGAGATCATCAATTCATTTCTAATGTCTACTACATTCCAAGTATGAAGACCAACATCTTGAGTCTACGACAAATCTTAGAGAAAGGTTATGATATTCGACTCAACGATAATAGTCTTTCTCTAAGAGATGAATCAAACAATCTCATCACGAAGGTCCCAATGTCAAAGAATAGAATGTTTGTCCTAAACATTCAAAACAACATTGCAAGATGTCTAAAGATGTGTTACAAGGAGGATTATTGGCTTTGGCATCTTCGGTTTGGGCATCTCAACTTTGAAGGGTTAGAGATACTTTCCAAGAAAGAAATGGTGAGAGGATTACCATGCATCAACCATCCAAATCAAGTGTGTGAAGGGTGTTTACTTGGAAAGCAATTCAAAATGAGTTTTCCAAAGGAGTCAGAGACAAGAGCAAGAAAGCCACTGGAACTCTTACATACAGATGTATGTGGTCCGATCAAACCAAGTTCACTTGCCAAAAGTAACTACTTCCTTCTCTTTATTGATGATTTCTCAAGAAAGACACGGGTTTACTTTTTGAAAGAAAAATCAGAAGTGTTTGAGAATTTCAAAAAGTTTAAAGCCCATGTTGAGAAAGAAAGTGGTCTTGAGATTAAGTCCATGAGATCTGATCGAGGAGGAGAATTCTTATCTAATGACTTTATGAAGTATTGTGAAGATAATGGTATCCGAAGACAATTGACGGTGCCAAGATCCCCCCAGCAAAATGGAGTAGCAGAGATAAAGAATAGGACCATCCTTGAGATGGCAAGAAGCATGCTCAAGAGTAAGAAGCTACCAAAGGAGTTGTGGGCGGAAGCGGTTGCGTGTGCGGTTTATATAACAAATCGATCTCCAACAAAGAGTGTTTTGGGAAAGACACCACAAGAAGCTTGGAGCGGAAGGAAGCCTGATGTATCACATCTAGGAGTCTTTGGAAGTATTTCTCATGCTCATCTAAGAGTCTTTGGAAGTATTGCTCATGCTCATGTTCCAGATGAAAAGCGAAGCAAATTAGATGATAAAAGTGAGAAGTACATCTTCATTGGATATGACGCTAACTCCAAAGGCTACAAGCTTTACAATCCAGAAACAAAGAAGACAATCACTAGTCGGAATGTCTTCTTTGATGAAGAAGAGGAATGGGACTGGAGATCAAATGATGAAGACTACAATTTCTTTCCATCTTTTGAAGAAGAAGATTTAGAGCAACCAAGAGAAGAGTCAGCTACACCACCAACTTCACCAACACCAAGTTCTCAAGGAGATGAAAGCTTAAGTGAAAGAACCCCCACGTTTTAGAAGTCTACAAGACATCAATGGAGTTACCGAAAATCAAGACAATCTTACTCTGTTTTGTCTATTTGCGGATTGCGAGCCTATGAACTTTGAAGAGGCTCAAGAAAAGAAGTCATGGAGAAGTGAAATGGATGAAGAAATCAAGTCGATTCAAAAGAATAATACATGAGAGATAGCCTCACTTCCAAGTGGGCATAAGGAAATTGGTGTGAAGTGGGTGTACAAGGAAAATAAGAACATTAAAGGAGAAGTGGAAAGGTACAAGGAAAGATTGGTGGCAAAATGTTATAGTCAAAGAACCGGAATCGATTATGATGAAGTGTTTATCCCTGTTGGGCGCTTAGAGACGGTTAGGCTAATCATTTCATTGACAGCCGAAAAGAGTTGGAGGATCCATAAAATGGATGTCAGATCAGCCTTCTTAAATGGAGATCTTGAGGAAGAAGTCTACATTGAGCAACCACAAGGCTACAAAGTCAAAGGAGAAGAAGTCAAAGTTTTGAAGCTAAAGAAGACGCTTTATGGATTAAATAAGCACCAAGAGCATGGAACACTCGGATTGATAAGTACTTCAAGGAGAAAGACTTCATCAAGTGTCCATATGAGCATGCACTTTATATCAAAAGTCAAAAGAATGATATATTGATTGCATGCTTGTGTGTGGACGACTTGATATTCACTGGCAACAATCCGATTATGTTTGAAGATTTCAAGATGGAGATGACAAAGGAGTTCGAGATTACTGATATTGGATTTATGTCATACTACCTTGGCATTGAAGTAAAGCAATAAGATAAGGGAATCTTCATTACTCAAGAAGCTTATGCTGAAGAGATTCTTAAGAAGTTCAAGATGGATGACTCAAATCCAGTTTGCACGCCAATGGAATGTGGAGTCAAGTTGTCAAAGGAAGAAGAAGGAGAGAGTGTGGATCCAACACTCTTCAAGAGCCTTGTTGGAAGCTTACGTTATCTAACATGTACAAGTCCTGATGTCTTAAATGCGATTGGAGTTGTGAGTCGTTTCATGGAGCATCCAACAACGACTCATTTCAAGGCAGCTAAGAGGATCCTACACTATATCAAAGGTACAAGCAACTTTGGCTTGTATTACTCTATTTCTTACGATTACAATCTTGTTGGATATAGAGATAGCGTCTGGGGAGGAGATGTAGATGACCGGAAAAGCACAAGTGGCTTTATGTTTTTCATTGGAGAGACGGCTTTCACATGGATGTCAAAGAAGCAACCAATTGTCACTCTTTCAACTTGTGAAGCAGAGTATGTGGCGGCTACTTCATGTGTCTGCCATGCTATATGGTTACGAAGCTTGCTAAAGGAGTTGAGTCTACCACAAGAGGAGCCAACGAAGATCTTTGTTGATAACAAATCAGCAATAGCATTGGCGAAGAATCCAGTTTTCCATGATCGAAACAAGCACCTCGATACCCGTTATCACTATATTAGAGAATGTGTCACCAAGATGGAAGTACAATTGGAGTATGTGAAGACAAATGATCAGTTAGCTGATATCTTTACCAAGCCTCTCAAGCGTGAAGACTTTATCAAGATGCGGAGTTTGCTCAGAGTGACAAATCAAGTTTAAGAGGGGGTGTTGAAAGTTAAACTTGTTTTGGGCTCTCCCAATTGTCCAAGATTCAAAGCAAAGGTCAAGAAGCTCAAGAAGCCCAAGAAGAAGAAGTGTGTAGAAGAAATTATGGATAAGACTAAGAGAAGGATCTAGAGATAGCTTAAGTAGTATAAATATGGATGCTTGGCTCACTTGTAAGAGTATCCCACAACAAGCAAAATCAATCATAAATAAAGAGTAGTAGTTATAAGAAAGAGTTCTTTCTAAAAGAGTCATAAAACTCTCTCTAAATAGAAAACTTGAGTAGCAAATCTTTTTTCTAAATACGGAGGCTAACTTTTATAGTAGCAGTCCAATTTCCAACTTAGCCGCTTCAAAAAACGCTATCCCGCTAAAATTTCCAACAGTTTGTTGGGATTCTTGTGTTGTTGTTTCTTAATTTTTTTTTTCTCAGAAGAGACCAAATCTAAAAGGTCCTCCGGGACCAAAAGCTGATAGGCTTATGGTAGCGACCTTACCAGCAAGAGATTGACTTGCTGAAAAGTCTGGTCTTGAACTCATCTCCAAAACTTGAATGTCCAGAAAGTGGGACAAGTCCGTCTTTGCCATGGAAGAGACTGAAAGCTGAATCAAATGCAGGACCATTTTCAAAAATTGGACCTTTGCTACCTTCTTGCACCTGAAAAACAAAAATAAACTTTAGATCACCATGAAATCAAATAGAGCATACAGGGACACCGAGATGATTCTTTATCCACTCGCTTCCTTTTCTCTGAGAAAATAGCCTGAGAAATCAAATTTAATAATCCAAAAACTGAGTTAAGAAAAAACAAACCCAAAATGCTAAGAACACCAACCAAATACCCAAAACATCAAACTGAAATATAGATCATTCATAGATTTCAAATGACTGACAGAAAATTATCCACATGATCACATATTCAACAAAACTTTTGTGTGGGAGTCGATTTCACCCTACTGTCAAATAAATCGTAAATAAGGAAACTTCGGGAAAACCCTAAGTTTCCAGAGGAACCGGCTATCTGCGAGAACCGCACAACAAAGATTAAGATGACGAAAACACTTAGAATTAAAACGAAAATAAGCGAGATTGAAAGCAAGAAGGTTCTTATTCCGAATCTGCGTTGAACTGG